TTTGCATGCTTGAATTTTCTCCTTTGTTTTCTTATTAATTCTCCTTGATTTTCATTTAATTAGAAATATGAAGTTCTTCAGATCTTTAATTATTTTTCTACCTATATTAGTACCTTTTGTTAAAAAATTTTAACTAAGGATACAGGGCTTATGCAATCATGCTGCTTCTGTCTTCTGACTTTTTCTGCAATAACATTTAAATCTTTTGGATGAGTTCCAGAAATTTGACAGACAAGACTGAGTCTGAAATTTATTGCGTTTATGGGATCCTAGGAGTGTTCACATGTCAAGGGGCCTTGGGAGATCTCTAGTGAGAGCAGGAGAGATCTCTCCTGCTCAAAGCAGGGCCAGCCAAGGGTTCAGACCAGTTTATTCAGGAATTTGTCCAGGTGGATTGTGAAATCCTTCAGTGGAGGAGATGGTATATCTGGGCAACCTGCAGCACTGCTGGACTATGTTGGGAAAACTTTTCCTTATACACAGGCCAAACCTTTCTGTTTTCACCTTTTCCGTGTTTTCCATCATCCCTGTTTCAAACTCCTGTGGAGACTGTGACTGTGGGAACACCAGCATCGCTGAGCTGCTGTTAGGTCCCTCAGATAGACAGTATACAGATAACAGACAATAAATAGGCCCAGGTCTCTCAGCCTCTTCTCACAGGGCAAGTGCTCCAGCTCTGACCACCATGAGTGGCCTCCACTGACCTTGTTGCACTTTGTCAATGTCTGTCCTGTTCTGGGGAAGAGAGGGCAAGTCTGGCCCCAGTGTTACACATACCTACAGTCTAATGAGTGCCTACTAGAGGATACCGTCACTTTTCTACATTTCCTCTATGTTCTTTACAATAGGCAGCCTGATAGATGATAATGGTCATAAAGTCAAACAATAAAAAATACCTGCATTATGAATTAAACTTTTAATGGATGCTATATTTTCAGATGTGCCCAAATTGAAAAGACTTTCATTGCCTTATGGGATGGAAACTAATCATAAGAGAAGAATCTGTAAAAGACTTGATTTTATCAATATGAATGCTTTCAGCAGTCCTCCAGTATAATTACATCCTATACATAAAAGTTTTGTTTTTTCAATCTCAAACATGACAAATAGATACTTTCCCCTCCTGAGAAACACTAAAATACCCATTTTTCATGGTACCCACTCATACACTGCATGATTTTGCCTGTTTCTGTCATTCCTTTTTAACTTGTCTTTCAGAATTCTTTCTGAACATTATTTTACTAGCCACTTTTCTTGCTTGAGAGCCAAGGTGATTCAGCTTGAGTTAATACAGTTACAAAGCTTCAGTTTGTATTTGCCTACTACACATGATGCAGACATGTAGATCTGACCCACAGCTATCTGACAGGTAATAAATTCATCACTGGTAGAGGTATTGCCTGACTAGTGTCTGATGTAATAAGAATTATTCCCTTATCCTCCCTGAATTACCCCAACTAGCTGTGTGACTTAATGAGTATGTGTACAAAAAGCAAAGGAATACAATTAACATATTGTTAATACAATACATGAATGTGTTTCTGGGTGAATATAGTGAATATGACTAATTTTTCAGTGCTCATGGCTGATTGTACTGTCCTTATAACCCCTCCCAACTACTGTTGGATACTCAATGTTTTTACTTTTAAATTACCAGTTTTTAGGGGTTTAGATGTTGTTTTCATTACTGGAAACCTTTTAGGATGTTCCCTTCTTATGAATTAACTTCATTTTAATTTGTTCAGCTATTGAGCCATCTCTTTTTTTTGGGTTTTTTTTTGTCCTGACTCAAAATCCAATAGCCCTGCTGCTTTCAATTAAAATGTAGTACCTTGGGCAGAAAGCCTTCATGTATGTTTTCAGTATTTTCTGTTTCTAAAAATATGCTGGGATTTTTTGTTAACACCATTCTAGGTATTCAGATTTCCAATTGTGTAATATTTTAATGATGATTAAATTAAAAATGCTTTTTCTGAATTAGAGCTGTGATTTAGTGATTGTTGTTATTCATTGGCATTGTCTCATTCTTCCTCTTGCAGTTCAAACATTCTTTCATTAACCTGCAGAAAAAGTGTACCTCTGAGTGCTAGATAAGATTGATGTACATAATTAGTATATGCATGCAAGACGTTGGTGACACTCCCATTCTGGAAATCATTCCCATTAATAGAAACGTAAGATTGTTTCAGAGAGCTTGACCTTGTTAATGTCAGCCCATGATTCTTGACTGAAGCAGTGCCAGTACTGAAAATGCAAAGGCAAGAAAAGCCAGATAGGCTGCAGAGTTCCCTGAAGTGGGAGGCGAATATTGACAGCAGAAAGGATTGTATAGATTTAATTTTTTTGGTGGGTTGGACAGACTGACAAGAAGAACATTATTTTTTGAAGAGTTTTGACATGACTCTTAAGTGTAGCAAAAGGATGTTTTTACTCTGGGATGCCTAATTTTAATAGAAAAAATATATTCATTAGAGAAGCTTTGTAATAGGTGTCAAGGACTTTGAAGAGAAATGTAATTAACATCATTTTATTGGCACTGTAAGAATATAGCAGAGAATACTGAAAAAGAGCTACTGACTTAGCTTTCCATTTTATAAATCCATGAAGGAAAAGGAAACTACTCCCCTCAAAAAAATCCACATAAATGGGTGGCAATATTTCCAGAACTTTACAGGTCAAAGTCTGGAGATAGCTCAAGATAAATTTTCATAGGGAATAATACCTCTAAAAAGATACAGGTGGAAATGTCTTTTTGTCTCTGACACTTCTCTAGTGGGGGACTCTTTGCATGACTGAAAAATCCATGTTTTCTTGTAATTAAGAGGGATGAGAGACATGTATTATACAGAAGCAAGTGCAAGATTACTGTGCTAATGGTAAAAGGCAAAAATGAGCCATGTTTGAGGATTGATACTGGAGGAGTTAGTTGAATAGCTCTATCTCTCCCTGGTTTAATTTGCTTAGCTCAGAGCAAAAGTGAGTGGAAAATATATGAATTGTCTTCTTGAAATGCTTTATTTTTGCTTTTTACCTAAGATCAGTGGTGCAGAAAAAGTACCACTGAGATTCTTGTGTTTGCACTGTGTGGAGGAATGCTGTTTATGATGGACATTCTCTGTCCACTGATATAGTTGGCTGATGCTGGCTGGATGCCAGGCACGCAAGAAAGCCACTCACTCACTCCCCTCTGCATCTGGACAGAGGAGAGAAAATTTAACAAAGAGTTCTTGGATTGAGATAAGGACTGGGAGAAAACACCCAACAATTACCATCAAAGGCGAAACAGGCTCAACTTAAAGATATAAAGTGAATTTATTGCTAACAAAATCAGAGTAAGATAGTAAGGTAAAATAAAACCCTAAAAACACCTTCCCCCCACCCTTCCCAGTTCCACCTCCTACCCCAGCAGCATAAGGAGACTGGGAATGGGAGTTATGCTTAATTCATCACCCATGGCTTTTCCCACTGCTCAGGGTCAGGAGTCCTTCCCCTGCTGTACCATAGGTCCCTCCCATGGGAGGCAGTTCTCCCTGAACTTCTCCAGCTTGAGTCTGTCTCACAGGAAGGAGCTCCCTGTGAACTACTGCTGCAGCGTTAATCCATCCCACAGGCAACAGTCCCTTCAAACTGCTGCTGCATGGGTTACTCTTCCACGAGGTGTGGTCCTTCAAGGACAGGCTACTCCAGCATGGGCCTCTCTCACCTTGGGTCTTTCACGTGGTCACAGCCTCCTCTCAAATATCCACCTGCTCTGGTGTGGGGCTCCTCCATGGGCTACGGGTGGATCTCTGCATCCCCATGGATCATTGTAGGCTGCAGGGAGACAACCTACTTCACCATGATCTTCACCATGGACTGCAGAGGAATCTTGGCTCTGCTACTTGGAGCATCTCCTCTCCCTCCTTCTTCACTGACCTTGGTGTCTGCCTAGCCTTTCTTCTTACATGTTTTCACTCTGCTCTTCTCTGGCTGCAATTACAACTGCCTCACCATTTTTATTTTGGTTTGTCTCCCATAAGTCAATTGTCAATGCAGCAGCCATCTCTTTTCCTTTGGGGGATTTATCAGTGACTGCACAGAAAACTAACATGCTAAACACAATCATGAGGTGTGTGCAGTGAGTGCAACATCTCACTGAAGGCATTGGTTCTATGTTTTTAGTGTGTTGTAGGTGTTGTATAGTTTTTGCTGTTGGCAAGTCAAAATTTACAGCCAAAGCAACTAGCCACATGTCAGTGCTGTGAGCCAGCAAGTTAGCAGCTTGATTCTGGCCTGGGTTCCTTTATGAGACTGTATTAATGCTTCTTTTTTGTGGTGGTACTAGTCATGGAGTGACACAAGGAGTGTACACAGTAGAGGCCGAGCATAGTTCAATACAAAAATTGAATACAGTTTGTCTTGCTCCAGTAATTAATATATTGCCCCTGTCTTTTGAGAAGAATCCTCTTTTTGCTCCAGTCTTACTTGAAAGTCACAATTCTTGGCACAACAGTGATTTCTGATGACTTTGGTAGTCTTTGGCCATGGTCTGAAGAGCCTGTAGCCTGTACTGCCACTCTGGGCATTAAACCTGAGGCTTTGTACAGAGCGTAGCACAGGGGAAAATTTCTCTATGAAGGCTTAGGGGTTTATTTTTAAAGTCTCTAAGGAAGCAGGAGAAGGAAAAGCTTTTCAGAGGCTTTCTACCAGGCAGTAGATTTGGATTGGTATTATAGGCAGTGCCTTTGAGACAGAGTAATTGTAAATTGACTTCATTCTTCACAGCTACATGGTAAGAAGAGTGGTAACAGGAGAAGTTACTCTGGGGGATGTTTGGGATAAAGCGTAAGAAAACAGGTATGGAAGGACAAGAGACTTCCTAATAAGTCATTGGTGTCTTTGGTACCAGGACAAAAAGAAGAAAAAGTTGATCAAACTGTGGAAACGCAATATAGAGAGAAAAGACAAAATATTCAGTACCCCGTCTTATACACAAGTGGGTACCATAGAACAAATGTCTAAAGCAGTATCATTCCTGACACTGGTAACAGGACATACAGTAGTTCCCTTGTTGGTAGGGTGTCCTACCAGGCTTGTGCCCAGCACGGCTGCGGGACCTCCACGGGGATCAGTTCCTTTCGTCCTGTGATTCAGTGAAAGAAACCTGGTGTTCCTGCTGATGGTGCTCACTCCACCCCGAGGAGCTTGGGATGTCCTCTTCAGGTCTTAGAGCTTGTCTGTCATCACTTTCCATCCTTCTTAGATTCTCATGCAGTGTTTGGTGCTGTGTGCTACAGGACTTCCTGCGGGATTGGCTTCTTGTCAACCGCGGTTCAATTGAAGAAACTTGGTGTCCTTGCTGAAGGCGTTCACTGCTCCTTGGGGAGGCATGGATGCCTTGTTCAGTCCTTAAAGGCTGTCTCACATGGCATTCCATCCTCCTTGGATTCTCCCTCTGGGGCCGTGTGCTGCAGAGCCTTCGTGGGGTTCGGCTCCTTGTCATCTGCAGTTCTCTGTAAGAAACCCGGCGCCCCTGGTGTTGGTGCCTGCTCCTCCCTGAAGAGGCACGGAGGTACCAGTCATACCTTAGAGCTCGTCCCTCATCTCGTTCCATCTTCCTTAGATACTCCCTCAATGTTCTGCTGGCAGAACTGCGCGACCTCTGTCGAGATCGGCTCCTTATTGCCCTCGGTTCTATGAAAGAAACCTGATATTCTTGCTGACGGCGCATACGCCTCCTTGAGAAGGCACGGGCGTGCCGTTTGGTCCTTGGAGCTCGGCCCCTGTCACGAGCAGTGTTCTGAGCCCTGCTCTGCTGCCGTCTCCTGCTGCTTGAGCGATTGTAGCTCTGGGCCTTCTGGACCCTGGTGCGGCCATTGTAATGACTCCTTGGATACCTGCTTCGGCTCTTCTCTTGGGCCCTGCCACGGCTGCCCCCACGGCTGCCACCGCGGCTGCCACCACAGCTTCTGCAGTGAGACATGCAGTGCTGGTGTCCTGAGGAACGACGCTGACATCTTTCCGCAGCACGGGACCCAATTCGCTCTCCTTGATTATGGCTGGCAGAGCTGATGGACTCACTGATGGAATGCACCTCAGAGTTACTGTCTCCCACCACGTGGAATGTGTCTGGGAAAGGTGACTGGCATATCAGGCCCTCTGCTCTTCTGTGGAACCACTCCACCATGCAGTAAAAACAGAAAGGATGCCGACGCCAGCTCACGGAAGCTCGGTCGTTAATGGCGGCCTGGCAGATTGGGCACCTTATGTTCTCTGAAGCACCTTGATGTGCAGCCCGGGACACCTGGCTGGTGCTGGCAGCAGAAGAGGTGCTGCTTTCTGCCAAGTTTTTCTCTGAGGCCATTTTGCCCTGCAAACCAAAGAGATAAGCTGACACGTTCCCTGGTGCTCAGGACACAGTCTGCAGCCAGCAGCAAAGCTACTGAAGTAAGCATTAAAGGACTGCCCACTCTGCCTCAGGACAGCTCTTGAGCTGCCACCAGTGCCAGGGACCATCCTGGGGCAGATGAGTGACACTGGGGTGTCACTGTCACATGTCACTGGCATGTTTTAGCTCTTGAGGCAGGACGGTGGTAACTGACCTCTCTGGTATGTGCTGGCAGGAGCTGGGAAGCTGGGAAAGGGATTCCTGGCCTGTCAGCAGTTGCAGCCAGAGCCTGAGTGCATGACAGACTGGGACCAGCACCCCAGGCCCTGTCAGTGTCCTTGTCCAGAAAATCTCTGTGCCCTCAGAAAGCACACAGTGGGATGGGGGTCCTTTTTCCCCCACCTCTAGATGTCTGGCCCCAATGGAGGAGGCCAGACACTTTGGCCTTTTGGGGCTTCCCCAAGCATCCAAAAGGCTTGTTGTCATATGTGTCACAATGACTCCTTGGTGATACCATGGGACCACACCCAGGAGATACAAACTCTAGTCCCAGGGAATGAAAACTTCCAAGATGGCTTGTCTCATATGGCTGCTCCACTGTCAAGCAAAATCCAAATGCCTTATTTTTCATATAAATTCACTGGTTTCACTGATCATACCCAGCCCTATGTTCTGTTTTAAAAATAAACCATCTCAAGGGATTTCTTCCTCCTCAGTCAACTTTGCAGGTCTAAAGAGGTGATACTTCACTGGAGCAGTCTGTCCAGTGTGTGTAAGTAGAAAATAAGTAGAGATGGACATACTGGAGAGTGTCAAATAAGGGTTCACAAGGGTGATGAAGGGTCTAGAGCATCTGTCTTACAGGGAAAGAACTAAGAGTGCTGTCTCCAGACTGCTCAATCTGGAGAAGACCCCATGGGGTATCTTTTCCAATGTATACCAGTAACTGATGGGAAGGTACAAAGAAGACAGAGCCAGAGTCTTTTCAGGGGTGCCCAGAACCCAGGACTTCCCTCTGAATATTGGGAGACTTCCTTTTTCACTGTGAGCGTGACCAGACACTGTCAGGGTGCCTTTGGACTCTTTCTCCTTGGAGATGATACTCAAGATCTGTGTGCATGTGGCTGTGGTCATGGGCTAGTTGCCACTGCTCCATGACAGAAGCCTGTTATCTTCAGTGTCCCTGCTGCCTTCTGCTGTAGTTCTGGGCTTACAGCCTGGCCCTCATCACGATCTCTTTTCATTTGCTTCTCTCTGTGTGTCTGACCTTAACTGCTATGGGACTTGCCCTGAAATCAGCTCTCTGTTGCCTTTCATTCCCTGGAGGAAACTCAACTCTACACTGCTGTTTCTTGTGCCTCCCATAATAGGCTGGGACTGGCTTTCTGGGCTTAGAGCTCAGGCCTTGTCATGGAGTGAAACCCATTAAAGTGCCACAGCTTGTCTCAGTCTTGGTAGATCAACAAACTTGTTTACGTAAGTCTGATAAGCTCAGCTGAAGTAGTCTTTCATTAACTTCAGCAAAGAAGCCATTTTGATTCTAAAACTTCCATGTACTCTAAGTCAAAAACAAAGCACTAGACTGGGACTGGTTGCAAGGCCTGGTAGATGATTCAAAGGGGAGAATTTTGTCCTAACCTTTAGTACCCATCCCTTCTGACCATACAGACTTTTAAGCATCTTCAGCTTTCCAGGAGAAAGAGTTTAGTTGTTTATAAGGCCAGTGTCATCCTGGCCTGTGTCAGCAGTAGTGTGGCCAGCAGGAGCAGGGCAGGCATTGTCCCCCTGTACTCAGGACTGGTGAGGCTGCACCTTGAGTGCTGTGTCAAGTTCTGGGCCCCTCACAAGGACACGGAGAGACAGGAGCGTGTCCAGGGAACTGCAGCAGAGCTGGGGAAGGGTCTGGTGCACCGGTTTGACAAGGAGCAGCTGAGAGAGTTGTGGTTTAGCATGGAGAAAAGGAGGCTCAGGGGGCGCTTCATTGCTCTCTTGAAATACCTTAAAGGAGGTTGTAGTCAGGTGGGGGTTGGTTTCTTTCCCCCCAGCAAGTAGTGGCAGGATGAGAAGACATAGCCTCAGGCTGTGTCAGGGGAGGTTCAGGTTGGACAGCAGGAACCATGTTTTCATAAAAACGATTATCAGGCATTGGAATAGATTGCCCAGGGAGGTGGTGAAATGACTATCCCTGGGAGTATTTAAAAGACATGTATGTGTGGCACTTAGGGATGTGGTTTAGCGATGGACTTGATCACTTTAAAGGTCTTTTCCGGCTTAAACTTCTGTGATTCTAGTGAAATATGTGTGTACCTGTAGATTGACTTTCCCCACCTGCCTTTTAGAATGACCTAATTTAGTACTGTGTTCACAATACATTTGGGAAATTCATTAATTTAATTTAGTACTTACTGTGCTTGTAACACTTTTCCCTCTTTATGCACCTTTGTCTCTCCCCCCTGTGCCCCCATAGCACAACCCTTTGTATAATTGCATTGGATGTGTTTTCAAAGAACTTTTTATCTATTAAACCTGCTCAGAATGAGTATTTTACTTAATTGATGCTTGCTGCTTTCCAGATTAATCTTCCACTGAATGTGACATTCTGCATTTTTTTACATGTATTCAAGTATTTTACGATAATGAAATGTTCTTCTGATGCTTTTAATGATTGTAAATAACTTTTTAATCCTAAATTATTGAATGTATATCCCATCTGAGGTCTTTTAAGTGTGTGCTCTGAAAGGTTTTAAAAGAGCTTATGACTAACATTGAAAACTGTCTGCTGGTGCAGGCTTTAAATACATTTTTTTGATCTCATAAAAGTAGCATAAACATTTATTAACAAATCATGACATGGGCCGTTCTTTTCAACACATTTTTTCTTTATGCTTGTTGGAAGTCAAAGAAACTTGTGTATGAATGTTAGAGTGTGCTGTGGCTGTGCTCCTCCTTTCCATTCTCTGGTCCTTGAAACAGCATGTTTCTGAGACCCACAGCTGGCCCTTTTCAGCAATAATTCAGTTATAATTAGCTCATTATAAGCATTGCCATTTTTTGTGCTGTCAAAAATGTCACTGCTGCAAAAGCAGCTTTTTCAATAGTACCTTTTCTGTCAGGGAGCTCTCAGGCACTATATAAGATGTTCTTTGCAGAATGCTTAATTCAGTTATTTGTTGTTATCCGTTGGTTGTACAGCTTTAGGGAATAAAGAATTCAAAACTATTCGACCTGAATATATTTTTGGGGGGGTTTTCTGTTTATTTTTTTGGGTTTTTTTTGTAAATTTTAGTGTTCTACAAATTAGCAATTATATATATATATATCACATCACAATTTTTTACTGCATTTCTTAATTGAAGAATTTTTTTGAGCAAAAGTTAACTTTATTTCTTCTCTTAATTTGTATAACCTTTAGGTAATTCAGAAGTGTTTGAATAGACACTCAGTAACAACAAGAAGTTTCTTCAGTTTTCTGGTATTTGTACTGAAGGTTAGCCATTGCAGATAGAGTCCAGCTTAGTTCTTGCAGGTCCCATTTACAAAAAGCATCAAGCTGTGATGATATTATTCCACTTAAAAGACTGATAGCTGGAATTGTAAGCCTCAGCTATTCCTGCTCCTGATGAGATCATTTGCCGAGATTGGCTTCCCTTTCAGGTGGGGAAGAATTAGTTGTGGCGCATCACTGATTGTTCTGTTTTGTGATATTTTACAGAAATGGAAAAATTTCAGGGTTCGGAAGGCAAGAAGGAAGATGAGGAAAAGAAGTATCTTGATGTCATCAGCAACAAAAACATAAAGCTGTCAGAGAGAGTTCTGATCCCTGTCAAACAATATCCAAAGGTACTGTAAATGCAGTCTAACACTCATTTAATTGTTGTTAATAAAAGGATGAAAAAGTTATACACTTAACCATTTTTATTGACTCAAAATATGCAGGCTTTGTGATAGCAAAAAAAAAAAAAAAAAAAGCTCCTATTTAAATGTATCTGTTAGCTATTACATGTTTTAGCTACTTTCTCAGGGCCTTTCAGGAAAGCAAAGTGAATGAGTTTTTTTTCAAATTGAGGTAGGTTTTGTCCTTAAGCAAACTGCTGTGGTTTTTTCTCAGTTGTTTTTTGTTTTTTTTTCCACATATGTCATCCTTTTATAAAATAAAAGTTGCCAAAGAAAAAATGTTTCAGTAACTCCAAAAAGCTTCCTTATAGGAGAGTTGGGGGATTTTCTCTGGAGTAATAAGTTTTAAAAGATCAAGTGTCAGGATTACTGCCAGCTGTGACTGACAATGTTCAGTGCTGTTTATGAAATTCAAATGTTTTAGCATCTCAGACTTTCTTATTAGTTCTCATTGTTACATACTCTAATGCAGAAAAAGTATTTTATTTTTTGCAAAATTTAGCTGCTTGTTGGAAGTTTTGGGTTTTATTTTTATAAGAGAATATTGATTTTTTTTTTTTTGAACTTGGGTGTTTGTTTGGTTTTCTTGTACAGTTTTTTATTTTACATAAACAGTTATTCTAATAGTATTCATACTGAAATGATAAACATCTCAATTTGTCTCCAGAGTATTTTTTCCTTGCTGATTTATTATCACATGGTATTTGATTCACCATTAGCCTTGATTACACTCTGAGCTTTTTGCTTTATACTTTCATCAGAGCAATAAATTACGATTGGTAAAAAGCTCATCAAACAAAATGAAAGGTGTAAAAAAATTGAGATTCAATGATTTCAGCTGACATTTACCTCCTGATTGGTGAATATAAAACTGAGATAATGTAATAATCCAAATGGTAAAGACCTTAGAAACACATACAGTGCTATAAGGAATTACTTTCTTGCTGCATAGCCTGAGGTGCTTTGCCTTGATTTGCGGTATTTTGTGTAAATGCTGTAGGTGACCTGAAGTTCTTAGTCAGGATGTAATAGTGCTGTAACTTCGTAGCAGCAGTGTGATAATCATTCAGAATACTGTTTGATGAAGATAGTAGAATAAAAGACAAACTATTCAAAAGACAAAATGCTATCATCTAGCCAATATAGCACCTGAATATGATTAAATTAGCTTCATTGACGTTAATGAACATGTCATATTAATGAATAATAAAAGATTTAAGGCATTTTTTACAGCTTTTGAGTGGTGGAGTTAAAGAAATCAGTACGATGGAAATTAAGTACATACTCAGTAATGCAGAATAATCTTTTACAAGGTTTCAGTAGTTGATTTGCTGGCAATATTCTGTGCTTGGCATGGAACTATTCTCAGAGCTGCAGGTTTCCTGCTACCATCTCTAGGAACCATCTTTCAAGGATTGCATTTGCACTTCGTATCAAACTGCCGATTGCTGTGATCTAGCGTCTTTTCTTTTCTTGACAATTGTATACATTAGTCAAATCAGTACACAGTGGTTGCTTCAGCTTGCTTTATAAATGATGAAAAAAAGTGGAAAATAATTAAAAGAGGATTAGTTTGGTGGATTATTTGGTAGAATATGTTAATAAGAGCAGTTGATCAGACTTGTATTTATAAACAGTTAAGATAAATACCATATGATTTCATTTAAGAGTAATTTTTATTTGAAAGAACAGTATTTTAAATAGTTCATTGTTTTCTGATAAGCTTTTTTGGGCAGTGCTGGGTAAGCAGGGTTCTGTAAATCTCGAGAAATTTACAGAATTGCCCAAGTGTGAAAAATTGTAGAAAAAAATCTGGCCCAGTTAAAAGCCATCTAAAACATCACTTTTCCACTCTCTGTTTAGGAATAAGGGCAGCTGTTGGAAGGCATTTGCACTTACTTTAATTTCATGTAAAAATACAAATTGCTTCAAGGGAACCCTTGGCCTAAAAATTTATTATGGTCTGTAGGCTAAGCTTCAATGACAGCTGTAGAGTCAGCAGCAGAATTTTAAGGTTTGAACAAAAGTTAACACAAAAGGCTTCTAGTGACTAAATAGCTCTTAAAGTTGCAGAATAAGTATTATGAAATTCTCTCTACTCAAGTGTCCACAGTCTGGTGCAGACAGCAGGAAAAGAATATGAAAGGCTGTGGTTAGCAACAGCTGTCCTACGTTACCAGCTCCAGTGAAGACACAGGCCTCCTTCCTCTGCTCTAAAATAGAGATCTAAAATAGAGATGGGGTGTTAGTTGACACTTCAGCAATGATCTTTTCTGTGATTAATTATCTTAAATAGCAGCAGCCCAGGTGGAAACAGCATCACATTTACACACACTCCACTACACAGCAGGGATACATCAGATATAGGAAAAGAGTGAGTTATTTTAATTAAAAAAAGAAGAAGGAAAGGAAAATCTGAAATTATCATGTTGCTGTAAATCATAAGTGACAGTTTAGAGGCTTGGTGGGAAACTGTCATTTGAATGGCAGTACAGATTTTTGCCATTTACTTACCTGTAGTTTGGCTTCTTTCGTTTTCTGTGGTTCCTACCTTTTTCTGTGTCGTTTTCTGTGGTTCCTACCTTTTTCTGTGATAACTTTTTTAAGGAGCTTCTAAACTGGCTTTGCAAATTTGTTCCATTGCACAGTTTAAGAATTTGAGAGCTTGTTTAAAGCCTTAGCTTTATGTAGCACATAAAATAGGAAGTTTTTGTTTGCATACTTGTCCGGTCCACATTTTAAGTTAAAATGTTGCTGACTTTGTTGAAATTCTTCCCCTGTTATCCCTGGCTTCAGCTTAGCTGGGTTTCAGCCATTAAGGAATGGCTCATTTTGTTAACTTATTTTTGCTTTCTGTGAGTGCAGATATATGAAATAGCTGACAAGTCAAAAATAAACAGTATGTATATAAAAGTCTTAAATATTGCAGTGCATCTGTCTTGGTTTGACCTCAACCAGCAACCAGGGCCCATGCAGATACACTCCTACACCAGTGGGATGGGAGAGAGACAAAATAGTGATAGTGGGTTGAGACAAGAGGCTTTTTTAAAGCAAAAGTTGTGCATGGAGGCGAAGCAAAATCAGGAATGTTTTCACTTCTTCCCATGGACAGACAAGTGTTCAGCCGTCTCCAGAGAGCAGGGCCTATTAAGCACTCAGATATTAGTAGAAGGATCTTTTCAGTTTTCTGATATCTCATTTCTGCTTCTTAGCAAATTCTCTATTAATACATAGTTTCCATTTTGATCATTAATTATATTTCAAATAGACTAGCAGAAATATTTCAAAATTCAAATTAGAGTTTTTTAATATTGTTGAATTTTTTGCTTCAAATAAATAACTGTAACCAAGATATTTTCTTTAAATCCCTTCTGTATGAACTGTCCAACTAATTCTGAAAAGTGAAATCAAATATGGGAACAGTTGAAGAGAGAAAAATTGGAAAAGTAGTTTTCTTCCTGTACTTAAGCTGAGAGAAAAGGCAAAACCTCTCAAACCTCAAAAGCTCATTCTGCTTCTCCAAAATTTTATTGCAAGTGGTGCAATTCTGCTATTCAGTGCATGTTTTCAGTTTTTCTGATTGTACTCAAGATCCAATGCATCTTCTGTTCCATTTAATGATAGCAGGCATTTGGAAAATCCAGACAAATACTTTAGCTGTACTTCCAGTAAAATGCATGAAAAAATATCACACTTTTTTTTTTCTTCTCTCTGACTTACTTAGGACCTGATCTTTCATCCATCTCTCTACTTACCTTTTACAGATAAGTTAAGGAAATGAACCCTGACTCTAATGCTTCTAGGGCCCACACTAATCTTGCAGAGCTCTCGAATAGTTACAGGAAATACCTTTTATTATTTAAAAATAATTTCTGTCCCCATTTTTGTTAAAGCTTTAGTTGTTTTCATAACACTGCTGTTGAAATCAGCTCCCACAGCATTAATTACCTTTGTTACCATGCTTAGAAATGCTGCTCTGTACAGATGTCTTTAAAAATTGTTTCATAAAATTGTTCCTGACTGCAGAGAATAAAGTGTATTCCAGATAGAATTCAGAGATTTGCCTTTCTGTTTCATTTAACTATCCATGGCTGCATAAATCTTTAGCAATATAATTAAAACAGCACTAACATAGTTAAAAACAAGTAGTACAGAAATAATATTCCAAACATTAGGACTTCTTTCTCCGCCTTTGATTGCATGATGGTGAAATGTTTCTCATGGGGATTTTCCCTTTATTTATACATGAAAATACATAGTTCAGCCTTCATCCTTCACTGTTTTCTTGCTGAAACTCATTCTTGAAATTGCAGGCAGGGACACTAAATTGCTGCTTAGTGATTTACTGGGATTTTCTCAATGCTGTTATAGTGGAATACGGTATTGCATTCCATATTTCAAGGCAGACTTTTAGAGTAGTTAGAATTTACCATTTCATATTGCAGAGCACTCAAAGGCCAAAACTAAGATGGAGACATCCTTTGTACTCAATACACTTAATAAGTGCACTGGTGTTTCTGCAAGGAGCTGACAATCTAGAAAACACAATGTAAGTAGAAAATGGGACATAAAAAAGTATGAGCAGGAAAAAGTTGGTAGGTGGTAGCAACTGTGTGAAATACAGACAAGTCCTAGCCACTTCTGTTGGGAACATTGGTCATGACTCATTTCTGAACCAACCAATTGGCTGGTTCAGAAAAAAAAAGCTCTCTATTTTTCTTTATTATTCCTATTTGATAGGGGCAAGAAAAATATAATTTATAACACCGGTTTAATAAAATAAGTGTGAGAATGGGCAGGAATTCACTCTGCTTGAACCAACAGGTCTAATCAGGATCTCCTGAATAATTTCATGTTAATGGTACACTGGTTGTGTATGATTGATTGTGGACATGTGCTCAACCTACACCCAAAGATATTTGGGGTTTTCTTTGCAATTTCAGCAGCGTTGTTTCTTTTTCTGTTACTGGTATTAATAACGGATGATTTGAGGGCTAAATTTTGTCTTCAGTATCATCAGTACAAGTTCAGTATTTTCAAATAAGTTTGCTTGGTGATTTATGATAAGAAATAGAATGTACCTCACTTCCACTCACCTGTGTGGCTTCTTAAGGACTAAAAAAGGTAGTGAATAGTAAAAATTAAACTTTGTGTCTAAATACACGGTGATGATATCTACTAAAGCTTTCAGACTGGACCTATGCTTCATGAGAACTGTAAAGGAAGCTATTGGTTAGAGAGATTTTTCACAGTACCCTCGACTTCAGCAGGAGCAGAACTAAGCCAACAATGTGCACTGATCAAAAGCTCACCTATTTGTGATCAGGTTTGGATGACTTGTTACTACTTCTTTTCCTTGCAGCTTTTAAGAGGATCAGTTGCCAGTTACATTAGTTAGCATCTATAACATCAACATCTTAAAGTTGCAGGGCAGTAGAAGAAAGTACTTTATGGCAAATTGGTTCTGTTACATGTCTGGGGTTTTCTATGGTCTTAAAAATTCAAGTTGTAAAAACTCCTGATGTGTGCAAGCAGTAGGTAGAACATTGCTGTGCTTCTTCTAGCACAACACTTCATCTAGCACAAATCCCAAACACAGCCCCTTACTGTCTGTTATGAAGAAAATTTAACTCCAGTCAGACATTTCAAATATAGCTTTTCCATTTGGAATGCTGCTATCATATAGGATGTGAGATTTTACTTACTTTAGCTGTGGTATTACTTCATATACATATTTTTTATAATAATAGTAATGTTTTTAATAAGGAAATACAGTGCAGTATAAATGTCCTACTGTTTTTTTTATGTTACAGTCTTACGTGTTAGCAGAGAATGAAAGAACAGTAAATTGATAACTTTAAGCAAAGGAGTAGGGTTTAAAGAATGTTTTGGAACCTTGTTAAAGTTGCTATTGAAATAAATATTTACTTCCTTTCAAACACTGAAAAAAGATCCAATATTTAAAAGAAAAAATGTACATCAAACGCTGTAAAATTACTGCAACAGGTACCTGCTGGTAATTTTTTCATATGCCTCCATTATTCTAGTCTGAACTGATCATCCATTTTGTAAATGCAGAATCTGTGTGGGCTAGTCTGTTCCTGAAAGCAAATATATTGTTTTGTCTTACACAAACACTGCTGAAGTATGTTTTTTACCTCTTGAAGCTGAAGAGGAAATCTGTTTTGTGGCTCTTCAGGATTTTTCCTCTGTTCAAGTAGTGCTACAAGGTCACTTCAAAGTAGTTATCAATGTAATTTGTAACAACTCATCTAATTTTTGAAAATTTCTTATAAAATATTAACACAAGACATAATACTCTGCCTTGATCCTTTTGCAATGGACCTAATGACTATACAGGAGATAATACAGCTCGTCATGGAACAATTCAGGTTTTGGTGGTACCTAAGTACACAAGAAATTCCTTGAACTTCAGAGCTAAGAAAGCTTTTAGCACATCTTTGTCTTCTGCTTAGCTGTGAGCTCTGATATGAGGTTTTGCCGATGGGTATAATGACAGAAATTTTGTCTTCTATGGATTTTCAGATCTCTTATGGCATGAGCATAAGGCACAGCCTTTGCCTCAGTTTGAACATGTCCTTCTATCCAGCTCTACGTATTCTTCAAACTCCTAAGATCTTGTTTTTGACATAGCCTCCTCTTTCAAACTGAGTTTAAGTAAAGCTTTGAGTTCAGTAGTTATTAGGGAATAAGACTGCACAAGGTAAATAATCACCTTGCCTTGATTCCCTATGAAGTGCTTGGAAATTACATGGCCCTATGGGTCATGTATGTCTCCTCACATAGGAGAAGGCCAGTTAGAGCAACAAGGACATACAAGTGACCTTCTCCAGAGCCTGTGTGCTCCAAGCAGAGTGAATGTGAGTTTTCTGGACCAGTTAGCTCAGTGACAAGGTTTTCCTCCTCTTCAGGATTGTGCTTTGAATGGTTTTATACCTCCTTTGCAACATCATAGATTTTGGTGGCTTTCTCCCTTGTTTCTCAAGCTTCCCACTTATCATCAGAAAACTTTAAAACATGTTTCTATATAGAGGAGTGTGGTAATGAAATAAATTTATGTTGAAAAAGCTCTTACTTGCTGAGTTGCAGCTATATAGCCTAGAGCATGTTTGACCTCAATCACCTTCTTTCCTGTTTTGTTTTTCACTCACATTGAGCAAACAAAATAAACAGGTGACACTTTCATATAATGCAAATGCAGAGGATATACTCTAATAGTGAAGAAATCTGTTTCATAAATGTATGTTTCATATTTTTATTAGAATACATACATACATATGTGTATGTGTTTTATTAGTTTTAATAAAACACATGTGTTTCATTAAAACTAATTGAAAATATGCCTTCCATTTTCATCTTAAATAGCTTGTTAGTAGCATCAGTATATAAACATTTTCAGGAGCACAAAGAATCAATTGCAGATATGTTCACTTGATAGATTTAGATTTCCTATTAAGAGTAGAACCACCAATTTTTTTTGTGGTTGCCACAGATTATTATGTGGGTTTTTTTAACTGTTACATATCCGTGGTTTGGGATTGTGAGTCAGAAGAAAAATACTACAGACTGGGAGGAAACCATGCCATCCCTCTTTCATTTCAAGAAATGTAGCAACTCACAGTTCTGTCACTCATGTTCTTTAAAGAATACAAGAAGGAGACAATTCTTCTGTCGCTTTCCCTAGATATGAAGTCATGGTTTTGTTCCAACAGGATGAATTTAGAACAAGTGACAACTGTAGCAAAACCTTCTGAGATCATAATCCTGCTACTGAGGTAAGGAGTGGGTAGCACAAAGGTAAATTACTGTCACCCACGACTTGTTCTACTACCAGAAATGTATACCTTGGCATACATAGAATAATTGCACACCATTTGCTCACTAATCACTGGTTCCAAGCTGATAGACCATCTACTGATGAGAGAAACTGTTTATTGTCTATGTCAACCCAGCAAGAGGGAATTAGGTCTTCTTCACCTGGTTCTTTTTACCCAAGGAAAATTAACTGAAGCAATGTTTAATGCAATATTAAAAGAAAAATTATAAATTGTTCAGTAATAATTGTTCAATAATAAGAAGAATGAACATGTTTCTCAGAAGTTAAAAGAAATCTAGTGTTAGTTTGGAATAAGTTATTTCTCTGTCATTTATTGAGGAAAAAACTGATGGGTAGCAGAAAACCAGAAAAAGCCCTTTTGTTTCTGAAAGAGAACAGTGTAATACTTCTTTTACCAGCAATGAATTCTTAATCTCTTTTTTCTTTTATACTGGGAATATTGTTTCAGATTGTATAGCCTTAGGCTGCTCCTTATCTTCTTGCTTTAAATATTTATTTTTATGATTGAGTCAAAGTAGACTTTGGAAGAAATATAATTTTTTCTGTGTAACTGTAAAATTCTATCTCAGTTCCATAGATACCATATACTGTAAATGCTTAACTTTATATATAAATAAGAAAGAAGATATAATTAAGATCATGTTTTATGTTGTGTCCCAGCATGATGCAAGACAGTGCTTTTTTTGTTTTGGTAATTTTCAGACCCGGGAGTCTGCATTCTCAGTGAAGCACATCCAGTGAATTTGTCATGTTGCCTAAAATAATCAACATATTTAAGTGGGCAGGTTATCTGCAGATTTCTAAGTTATCCAAGTACTTTGCCAGATACCAGAAATCACAGCATATTTTTCTAGATAAATGTCTTCACATGTGAAACTTAAAACACTGATGTTTGGTGGCTCTATTGCCACCTGACATTTGCTGTTTCTGAAACTCTCTTCTTACTCATGATAGTATTTAGATATTTCTTTAATGGAAACCTCAGCTTTCCAGAAAATCCTAAACTTTGCAAAAATAAACACTTTTAAGTTCAAGCATATAAATCATATTTCTGATGGGTTCTGCCTTACTGAACTGTTTTGCTTTAGTTTCAAGTTGCTTGTGATTTACACCATGTAGCAGACAAAGGAGTTACAAAATTTAAAAGTAATTTAAAATTTATGCCATTTTTAGGAAAGTGTCAGTATTGAAGTCATTAACAACTGTGTTGTGCACTCCTGTAAGATTTGCTAACTAATGTAGAGCAGAATTATAAACCCTGAAATGAGGGGTTCATAATGTAAGCACTGACACTAAAAGAACTGTAGCACAGGAGTGGTGTCACTGTAATTAGCTTAGTGCTAGTACAAATCATGTTTTATTATTCTTTCAGCCTCTGCAAGAAGAGATGGTTTATTTCTTTCAGGTATAATTGCGTTTGTCACATTTTTTGATATTGCAGAAATTATACGTGCATGAAAAGGCAAGATGACTTTCAGAGCACTTAACATCATGTTGTTTGGAATATCATTAGAGGGGAGAAATGATGGAAAAAAATGGAAAATAAAAACAAAGCTTTCAAGTTTTCAGATATTTTCCTTTTTTTGTTTTTTTTTAAAGGTTTCCTTTTCAGAAGAATAGGATGATGGGTATAGAAAAAGCATTATCTCATGAATATACCAGAAGGATGACATACCGGGAGGAGGGAATCTCTACAGATCCTCTCATGATTGTTCCCTCAATGAAGAGATAAAATTCTATTTTTTTCCCCCCAGGATCAGATTGCCAGAACATGCCATGTCTCTGCAAGGCTGTGTTTTGTTAGGCTCAGGCTGAAGCTCACAGACCAAGTGCATGGAGTCAGTTGTGTCTGCAGGAGCAGAGCTAGGTGCATCAGTGCTCCCCAGGGCTGAATTTGTCCTCTTAGTCTGAGAGTTGACTCAGACAGCTCTAGAGTGAAACTGCAGAGATTTCCTTCACATTCAAGATTTGGGATATGTTAGCTGGGAAAGGAATGATGATGGGGCAACCAATGTGTTCGTCTGCTGCCAGTAGAAAATGATTGCCTATGTTTCTGTGTCTAATTTTAATTTTTCAAATATAAAGAAGTCTCAGACAAATGAGTTCAGAGGAGGACTGCCAGGATCACTGGTGGCTGGAGCATGTGCTCTGTGTGGAGAAGCTGAGGGAGCTGGACTGAATAAGTCAGGAGGAAGACTTATCTCTGGAGGACCTAAGAGCTGCCTCCCTACTATCTTCAGGGAAGGTGTTGAGGAAACATCTTCAGGGAAGGTGTTGAGGAAACACTTAAAAATGGTGCATCTTGGGGGAGGGAGCAGGTGTAGCTTGGAACAAGGAATGTTCAGACTGGATGAAAGGAGAAACTTTATCAGCATGGGAGCATTGGAGCCAAGGAGCAGAATGCCTAGAGATGCTGTACAGATAGATGGCATTCAAATTGTACTTGGCTGCAGCCCATTAAAACATAGTATTATCTTTAAAATGTGTTGTGGGTTTCTTTTAGCAGACTTTAATTCTTTTAATCTCTAGTAATCTAGTTGCAATAGCTCTGAGTTCAATAAGGGATAGCCAACTGAGGACTCAGATTTATTCTTTTAATCTCTAGTAATCTAGTTGCAATAGCTCTGAGTTCAATAAGGGATAGCCAACTGAGGACTCAGATTTCTGAGTGGGTTGAGTAATTTCCCTGTTCTTATATATCTTTGTTGTTAGCACTATGCAAGTAGTGAATTTGGAATTGATTTAGGTATACCAAGAAGTGGTCACAGGTGTAGAAATACTGTTAGTTCTGTCCAGGATACCCTGTTACAAGGATTTTACATTATACAGAAACCCAGCATTTAAACCTAAGAAATTAACAAAAGGGGGAAAACCACATTTATTTCCTTCTCCCACTATGAAAAAGTGGCATTCAAAACAGATAGAGGAATTAATAAAAGTGATACCATTATAAGAGCTATTCATGTAACAGACTGGGTTGCTTTCATGTAAGAGCTGGCAAGAGAAAGCCGCCAAACAAATGACTTTTAATATTCATATTAAAAGTAGATATTCATTGCAATGAAGAAACAAGAGTATTTTTAAACAATATGTCATTTATATGCATTTTTGAAGTAGTAAGAATGCTGTAATCTCAAAAGACCTTTTTAGTCAGACAAATTAATGCTAATTACAGGAGGCATCTATTCGTTTTAACTTTCTATTGCAAATGGTATCATAAGAGATGAATTAATTGGTAGCAGAAATATTGATAGCTATGTTCTGGGGAAGGAGACTCAAAAATAGCTAATAAGAAAGCAGTTTGACTTTTTATCTGTCACTAAGGAATGTGATCCATCATTGAAGTACTCTGGAAACTAAAAAATTCGGTGAATGCATTGTCCTTTCATGCTTGTTATCTTTTCCTAAAGGTACTACTGGAACAACAGTGGGGCAGTCCCTTCATTCCAGTCAGAGAGGGATGGAAAAGAAGAGAAGCGATTCCCCTAGAAAGGATTCCCACTTAGCTCTATGTCTTCTGCATTCTCCCAAAACCCACTTGTGAGCAGACTGTAAGGTGCACTGTTTTAGAGGGAGGCACTCAGTAAAAGAACATTTTTTTAGCGAAGAGCACTTAATGTTGCTTGTAGATTGGTGTTAAAATGTTCCCTCGTCCTTGTAAGACCAGAAGCTTCCTTAAAGAATTAGATAAAAGGGCTTTTCCAGGGTAAATAATTTAATTCTAAATGTTCGCATGTAAAATAGGTTCTCTGAGAGCACCATTTTGTTTGTTTGTTTGTTTTTAAATTAGTAAGCTGACAATTTCTACTGTAAAGTTAGTGAAATGGGAACACCCAAGAAAAGGTAGTTATTGCACTCTTGGGACTATCACCTAAATATAGAACCTGATCAAAAACATTGAAAGCCATTGGAAAAGCCTCTGCTGCTCAGCTGTTTCTCTGATAATGTCTGTTTGAACATGCTAGCTCTCTTTACCTACATATCTTCTTACACCTTGGAACCAGGGGTTTTATTCCCTGGTATTTGCACTTTTTCTGAAAGCAGAACCTCACAGGTCCACTTTTCTTTTCAGGTTTCTGTATAGAATTAAAGTCACTATGGAAAAAGATACTCAAAACCAAATGTTTGTTGCATGAAGAACGCACATATGTGCACACACGTAGGAGGACCTTTTAAGATGAGCGATTCACGTGACATAGCAACTGACAAAATGTGGCTAATTTTACCATCATCAACATGGGAAAGATTTGTGTTGCATAGAGACAGTATGCAAAAATTGCACAAACTGCAATAAACATATCATCTTAAGAAAACTAGTTTATTCTTGTGTAGTACTGTCCTGTACAAAAACAAACAAAGAAAATCACACTAGACTGTGTAACATTAGGCTTTTATAAAAAGATCACTTTTTTCACAATGGAAATATGCTCCTAAGTGTTTATTGTAAACTGTGTCCTTATGTTTAGAAAGCTGGATTATTCTCAGCTCCCTTGTCTTATCCCCCCCTCAAAACGGCATCTATATGGCATTTTCCTGTGGAAGAAAATAAACATCAGTTTTGCTTACAGTTTAATTTCCTGGTAAAGGATGAGGGGATCTAGTGATGGAGTGTAGAACAAGCCACTTAATGCATTTAAGAAAGGCATCTGAGCCATATTACAACTGCTACAACCAGCTTGGAACAGAGTACAGAGAGTTGTAGAGGTTATCTTTAATTCAAGTTACTGTGTTTTATACCAGCAGCACTTATGCTTGGTCTGTTCTGGCAGTCACTGTTAGCTTCAGTTGTTACTTGAAGAATTCTTTAGCACTTTGGCCGTAATGGCTTCAGTGTTGCTAAGGGTCAAGCTTCAGTTTCAAATAGTTTGTGTTTATTCCCCAGTGTGCTAGTTTGACTGCTCTCAGTGTATGCTGTTGTAAAGGTGGTGTTTGTATGTGTAAACTAAAAAATTGAATAAAATTAAAAAAAACAATAAATCTGGAAGTTACTTGGAGATATAATTGCTTCTTTTTCACCAACTGTGTAGTGGGTTTTTATCAGTGTGATTAAATAGATGTAGCAGTGCAAAATTAAGTCTTTTTCTACTTCTCTCCCTCTCCCCTTTCTTTAAATGATGCTCTTGAACTGTGTTTTTGCAGCTATGATAGACACATCCAGTACACAGTAAATTCATGATACCTACATATTGAATGTAGCAGCCCAAAACCAGACTCCAATTTTGACAGGAGAACAAGACTGGGCAGTTCTGAAGTACATTAAGGAAGTTTTTCCCTTAAATCAGAGATTCTATTGCCAGCTCACTGTAAGCAGGTGTCCTGCAGTCCTCACTGCTCTTTGTTTTTTACAGGGAGTGACTACATCTGTAATGGTTCATATTATCTCTTATATTTGGATAAGTAGCCTACATGAACTTATTTCTCATTTATCACATTCCTGTGTTTAATATATATGATATATATTATATATGATATAATATGATATATGATATATATATATGATGTTTAAGGAACAGCAATAATAACACTCTAATGTTACCTATTATATAGTACTATTTGTATATGATTTATGTCATAAAGTGAACAAATGAGTCACCAAGGACACTAAGCACAATAAAGTTTGTTGGGTTTTGGGGATGTGCATTTTTTATTCAAACGAGATCTCTGTGGAAACAGGTACTAGTCCGAAGTGGCATTAAAAATAAATAGTTCTCAAGTATAATAGCAAGAGATTAATAGCATATTTGGAATTTGATGATGGAATTGCAAAGATTTGCATATATTTTATATTTTTATGTGATCTGTTTAGTTTTACTGAAGACGCTGGGAGAATTATTCAGATTCATAAAAATAGATTCTCTTTTTCTAGAATAAAGACTTCACTTACAGCAAGGAAAGTGAAAAAAAAAAAGGGGGGGGGAATACTGTGGAGTCTGCTACGAGATAATGTTCAAGCTTATTGTGAACACATTCTCTCTGACAGTTAATTTATTTCTGAAGGAAATAATTGTAGCGTCAAGGCCTTATTCTGCTAACTAAAGTAACCTGAAATCTGTCAAAAAATAGTCTCTAACATGAAAGAGCAAATTTCAAGTAATTGTTTTTTCTTCAGTAAGTACACTTTCTCATTTTCTGAATAATTACCTCCTTCACACCTTTTGAAGTGAAAATCAGGAGAAAACACAGGCTATTTCAGTCTGGTGCTATACCCGTATGTAAGAGTATTAGAAATATCAAATACTTCCTAAAATGAGCTAAGGTGAAGTTGGTGGTTTATCAGCCAGTACAATGGCTTACAATGAAAACCAGCACATACAGGACCCAGGAGACACTGTGATACACCAATTAACTGCTCACCTTAATTTTTAAGCAATTTTTAATTGTAATGCCTCTGTAAAACTCATTTATTGCTGTTATGTAACTTAGATGGGAAATGAGTTACTCTGTTTTGGTGAGGAGCTGATGATGAGCACATCCTGATTTTTTCCTGGATGACAGGGGGAATTTCTCTGAAATTTACTGAAGAACAGCAATAACTAGTACTTCCAGTAATTATTACCAACTAACTTTGCAGTAAGTTGTAAAGGAAAATAGTATACTGTTTTTAAATTAAAAGAACATTAAAAAAATTAAAAGATGAGGAGAGAACTAAGAAGAATAGTACAGTTTTTCTTTCCAGTCAACAGAAGGCCAATGGCTATTTTGAAGCTTTAAGGATTTTTTTTTTTGAGGAGTGTGGTTAAAAGAAGTAGTAGTTTTCATGTGAATTGTTATTACTGTGCTATTCTGGCATCCAGTGTATTTGTCAAGTTTTAAATGAAATTTTCAGCTCAGGAAGTTTAAGGTCATCATTTGACATACATCTTGTGTTAATTCAGAAAACAGTGAAAAGTGGTTGTTATTGTATCCATCTGTAGCAGTGGAAAGCAATTTTAGTAGACTTTGGAATAAATACATATAAGATGATACACATTTTTCAACTGAGTCTGACATCTGACTTCATGAATAAAAAAGACCCTATTAATCATGAGGTGATAGAGTCACACACTTTGTATTTATCATTCTTGTTGGAGAGTGAGTTGTCTCTTGTTAAGATTTTGAGGAAATGCATAGTAATTATACAAAACAAATAAGAAAGTAAAAAATACAGTTAATTTATGCGGAAACTTAAATGTTGGTCTCTAACTTTTATGTTATTACTCTGCAAATGATAGTGTGTGCATGTAAGGAATGTAATTTCTTCATCTATAATTGAGAAATATGCATATAGGAATGTGTATGTGAATAATACTTAATTCCATGGCCTGAAAACAAGCTAACTGTACATAGATTATATCCAACATCAGATGTGCTCATGCAATCTGATGCAAGGATTCTGCATCAAGGATATAGAAATTGTATTTTCAAATAATCTTTAATAGTATAAATGAACAACAGTTCAATATGACAATACTTATTCCCTGGAGTTGATACAGCATGTTGGCATGTATAACCAGGGTACACAGGGCACTGTTGGCACTTAGCTGGGAGCACAAGACTATGGATATTTTATGAAATACTAATTTTTGATCTATACCAGGTAATTTTGTGTGAAACAAAGGATCTTTACTTCTGGGTAGACTTTCAAATACCACCTGGCTCATATTCCCCTTGAAATAAGTAGAATTCATGACTACTGGATATCAATTCTGATATGCAAGTGAAGTGATTTGATTATTTCAGCTGTTTTGTAGTAATGGTTTAGTACCTCCAGTTTGTACACTCTGTCCAACCTCATTTTCTATGTATTATGCATAGCTCTTGGGGATTCCTGAATGTTTTACCTATGCTAGTAGTGTCTTCAAGGAAAGGAAAGATTCAAATACTTACTCATAATTATTAGTTGATTACATACATTACCTACTAGTTTTTCTAGTGTAAGACAGTTTTCTTCTCCCCTTTTCACACCTCTTCCATAATTTCCTTTTCTTCTTTCTGTCATTTTCCTTTGATGTTCAATGTATTATTTTAAGGGATGAAGCTCTTCTTTAAGTATTAGAAATAATATTGTAACAAATATTGAAAAATTGGGATTTTCATCTTACTGGGTTGAGCAGTCAACTCAAAGTCAGAGGATCACAGACTGGACACCTTTGATGAAGTTCGAAGGAACAGAGAACACTGAAAGAAGAAGCTCTAAGTGTTTAACAAACCAGTGCATCCTTAAGTCTTACAGATTTTAGATTCTTATTAAAGTTTCCTGCCTCTTGTTGAGGTATCCTTAGTCATGCTTTACTTCTACTCCATATTTCTCTTCTGTCTTAAAAGTCCTGAAGTATGTCAGTGTTTCTTTCTTAGGTGTGTGACAGGGCATTCTTGGAAACCACATTCCATATAAAAGGCTTAATGGATAACACGGTGTGCCAGTAACAAAGGGTATTTGCTATTTTTCCTTTTCATTATTTGAAAACAACAATATACAAGCCCTATGTGCTGTAGAAGTAGTCTTGCCAGCTCTAGGTTGATATCAATAAACACTGTAAGATAGGAGTTACTAATATGTACGACAGCATGACAGACTTCAGCTGTTAGAGCTGGAAGCACATTTAGTACAAAATGGAGAGCTAAAATTATATGTAACAGGGCTGGCAGCATCATTTCTGTAATCCTTTTAAAATATTTTGGGTGATTTTTCTAATGGTCGTATTTTTCTGAGAGCTGCTGTTTTCTTCTTCCTCTTGCAGACACTATGGTTTCTGGCTCTTGCTCTTTTGTTCTAGGACTTGAGACTATCACAGGTGATTGTTGACTTGTGCCTTTTTGTGTGTAGGAGAAAGAGAGACTTCATGAGCTACTGTACAGTACAAGTGTGTGCTCAGACTCGGTGATCCACACTGTCCTTCTCAATCCTCTGTGAGTGTGAAAACTCCCCACATATTTTCATAGCACTGGTTAGGGAAATCTAGAACTGGAAATTGAAAATTACCCCTTTTCTCCCTCAAACCCATCATTGCCTCCATGTGCAGGCAGCTGTAAACAGCAGACCTGAATGGATTTTGGCAGGGGGAAGAGGCACAGGTCTTGTATCACTCATGAGCAGGCAGCCACAGCTCTGCATCTCTGTAGGGATAGCAGGACATCTTTACCTGCCACTGGCCACTGCTAATGCCAGTTATTTGCCCAGTAAGTCATAAACTATGAGAGTAATTTTTGAGGCCATAAACTAGAATTCAGTGGGAGCTGAAATTATAAATAATATACGATGACTAATAGGTAATGAATTACATTTTCATCAGCTGTCTTGAGTTACAGGACACACAAACTAAAGCAGCAATTGTGTCCTCAACAATAAAGGAGCTGAAAATTTACTACTGCAGGTCTCTCTCTTGCTTTGCAGACCTTTCTACGCTCTTGCTTAGCATCCCTTTGTGTAGTTCTACAGGCTGTTTGCTGATGCTCTTGCTGGAAAGTATCTACCATGGATGATTGGTTTTCCAAGTTTTTAGGACACTATCGAATGGGATTTTAGGTGCATGGTCTACACACAGGTTTCCCCCAGTTTAAAGAAGTTCATTCCCTGCTTTTTCAGATATATTTAAAAATATTACAAGACATTTGCCTATACTTATCCACAGCAAATTACAGGTGAGAAATGCACAGTCTTAAGCAGTGCCTTGCATGTGAAGTGCCAAGTCATCACCAGATGCAGTCCCAGTAATTTCAAGGGCACAGTTTTTCTCTTGGCTTCTTGCTAGTTGTAAAACTTTATAGATGCCAGACTGCCTAACAGGTGTTGCCCTTTTACTTTCTGTATTCATTATATAGCAGACACCTGATTATGTGTTTGTTTTGTCCATCCTTTAGTTAGTTATCCTTCACACCCTCTTGTCTTCCCATCTGTCTCTTTCAGATAGACCAGTTTGTCTCTTTATGATATCTAGCCCTTCTTCTATGTTTTC